TTCTGTAAGATGAGTGTCAGAGACATGCCAGAGAGATCCTGATGGTGAGGCTCCTTACAGATCTGTGACTTGTATTCTGTAAGATGAGTGTCAGAGACATGCCAGAGATCCTGATGGTGAGGCACCTTACAGATCTGTGACTTGACTTGTATTCTGTAAGTGAGTGTCAGACACATGCCAGAGATCCTGATGGTGGGGCTCCTTAGATCTGTGACTTGTATTCTGTAAGATGAGTGTCAGAGGTTTCTATGCAGAAGTGAGTCTGATTTTGCACTCTCCAGCTTTAGTAAATAAACCCCTTGGAGTCACAGATCCGTAACTTGTATTCTGTAAGATGAGTGTCAGAGACATGCCAGAGATCCTGATGGTGGGGCTCCTTAGATCTGTGACTTGTATTCTGTAAGTGAGTGTCAGACACATGCCAGAGATCCTGATGGTGGGGCTCCTTAGATCTGTGACTTGTATTCTGTAAGATGAGTGTCAGAGACATGCCAGAGATCCTGATGGTGGGGCTCCTTAGATCTGTGACTTGTATTCTGTAAGTGAGTGTCAGACACATGCCAGAGATCCTGATGGTGGGGACTCCTTACAGATCTGTGACTTGTATTCTGTAAGATGAGTGTCGGACACATGCCAGAGATCCTGATGGTGGGGCTCCTTAGAGATCTGTGACTTGTATTCTGTAAGATGAGTGTCAGACACATGCCAGAGATCCTGATGGTGGGGCTCTTTACAGATCTGTGACTTGTATTCTGTAAGATGAGTGTCAGACACATGCCAGAGATCCTGATGGTGGGGCTTGTTACAGATCTGTGACCTGGATTGTAGCCAATGCATCAGCTTGTCACCTAGACCTCTGACATTTATGGTCCGTTCAAAGGGCTGTGTCGTAAAACACACATATGCATTTTTAGAGAATGCATATCGTGTTCTTAATGCAAAAGCATAATGCATTTTGCATGTGTCTTCATCCCTAGTCACCTGGAAAAAAAATGACAAGACAAAAAAAAAAAAAAACAAACCACACCTGAAAATGTGTGGTGCAGTTTGGATGTGTTTCTAATAACTATAATCGAAGGTGTATTTTTCAAACTAGGGACCAAGCATGCATCTAATCTCACTTGTCTCTGAAGCCTGATCTGCTCTGGGGGCTACTGACAGGAGGTAAGGAAACAATGCAACAGCTCCTCACTGCCTGTTTTAACCCGATTCTTTGACAAATGCACCGCTACCACGTGCGCTACATGTGGTTGAGACTACATGTCTTTGCTAAAAAAAAAAAATCCCAATACGAATAAATTATTATTTTTTTTTTTTTTTTTTTTTTAAGTCCGCAAACGTGCAACTATAACGAAAAAACCCGTATGTGTTCACAAAAAAATGTGCAAGTGCAAAACACCACACGAAAAAGTGCACTTAGGGGTGTGTTTGTCCTACCCCCGGAAGGGTTGGACCGTTCACCCGATCCCCCGGGGCACGAAGCTCCTGACAGGGACAAGGTTCCCATTTGGTCCTCCTGGCCAAAAGGCCTGGTGGACCACCGTTCCTTATGCCCAGCCGAAGCCGGACATCCAGTACTAGGCAAGGGGGTTCTCCCGAAGAGAAAACCCCCTAGGGATCAGGGGAGGAAGGAACCGTAGGGCCACACATCCTCCCCCTAGACTTCAGGTAAGGCCCGAGGACCCACACCCTCCATCCGTGAAAAAAACACACACATAAGAACAGAAAAAGTGACAAGACGTGGGAGTGGTTAAATTAAATAAATAGAAAATAAAAAAGTGGTACCGTGCCAAATAGTGCACAGACCAGGCCCTGAGGCCTGTAGCAAAAATTGCCCCGGACTTAGCCAAAAGACCTGGTCCTTAGGGCGCTGTGCAAAAAGAAGTGAAAAACAGTGGCCATGTGTCATTTTCACACCGTGGGGTCCCACACCCAAGTGTTACTAGTGACACCCCTGAGAGCGTCTTCCCCAGGGGGCACTGAGTTTGCGGACTTTTTGCGTCCCCAGCCCCAGGCCAGACCAAGGTAGATCTGTCCGAATCAGGAGGTACTGGGTCTTTCCAGCTTCACCAGAGGAATTACTCTCAAGGCCCCAGAGCTCATCATGGCGCTCCCTGGTTTCTGTCCCTCCGGTTCAGCCTTCCGGACCCCCATCATACCAGTGAGGGTACTATACAACAACCATCCCCGCAAAGCTAGAATGGTCGGGAGCACCCCCACTGGACACTGATAAGAACAGATACTACACTTGATCTTAGCCAAAAGGCCGAGAAGCGATAAATTAATTGGTTTACATGAAAGTTATAGTGTTTACAAATGGCGGTATGTATACTGGAATTTTTTTTTAATACTAGTAATGGCGGTAATCTTATAGTGGGACTGCAGCGGGCATTCTGACACTGGGGGGAAGAACTGACTAACTGTTACTGAGATCCCCAGTGACACTTACACAGTGATCAGTGCTAATAAAAAGCACTGACACTGTACTAATGGCACTGGGCAGGAAGGGGATAACATCTGGGGTGATCAAAGGGTTAACAAAGCAGCATGCAGCAGCTGACAGGGGAGAGAGCTATATTGTTTACATACAGGTCTCACCCCCCATCAGTGATACTCAGTGATTGCTGGGTGGGAATCACCAAACGGAACCCGGTGATCGACAGCAGAGGCTGCCAATGGCGGAACGGGTAGGGCGCGTGCGCACCCCCTACCCAGAAATACAAAATACAAAATCACGTATATATACACATGATTTTGCTCAGGGAGTCAGCCCTGTAGCAGTATTTCTGGCACAGGACAGGCATAAAGCGGTTAAAGGATAAGTTCACCTTTGGGAACATGTTACATCCGTTTTCAGCAGCCCCTGAACTCTCCCTAATGTTTTCCTATGTGTCCATGTACACTATGTCGTTTACAGGCAGCTGAGTTTATAGTCTTTATTTGAATGCATCAAACTTGCGTTCAGGAGTAGATTTTATCAGAGTTTCAAACGCCAAATGCTTGTAAACGTGGCTAACCGCATTTATAAGCGTTTGCAAGCATTTTTTGATCGGTCCATATCCAGGGCATAATTCACTAAGCAGTATCCTACCGCATCAGACCCCATTTGAATCCACTAAAAAAGGCTACAAAAATACCACATGATTTTATCAAGTCATGCGGAATTTTAGTAGTGAAAAGCATGCATCGTGTTTCAGCTGTCAGCTGGGTTCCCACTGACAGCTGAATGTAAAAGAAAGAATTGCCGGCATTTTAAAAAATGGCGTGGGGTCCCCCCTCCCATCCATACCAAGCCCTTCGGGTCTGTTATGGATTTTGAGAGGAAGCCCCACACCAAAAAATCCATACCAGACCCTTATCTGAGCATGCAGCCCGGTAGGTCAGGAAAGGTGGGGGGCGAGCGAGCTTGAGCACCCCCCCCCCCCGAACCATACCAGGCTACATGCCCTCAACATGATGGGGTGCTTTGGGGTAGGGGGAGCTCCCCCCCCCCCCCCCCCCCCAAGCACCTTGCCCCCATGTTGGGAACAAGGGCCTCTTCCCCACAACCCTGGCCGGTGGTTGTGGGGGTCTGCGGGCGGGGGGGGCTTATCAGAATCTGGAAGCCCCCTTTAGCAAGGGGGCCCACAGATCCTGCCGCCCCCAACTTGAATGAGTAAGGGGTACATGGTACCGCTAACCATTCGCAAAAAAAAAAAAAAAAAAAAACTCGATGTCCGCCGCTCCAAAGAAAAAAAAAAACTCTGCTACCACTGGCCCCCAGCCATCTGCTCAGAAGCTGGTTTGACAGTTCTAAAATATGTAAGGGACGGGGCCATCATGTATGTGACCCAGCCCCCATGTGACATCAGTGACCAGCATGCCCCGGTCGATGATGTCACATGGGGACAGGGTCACACGGGTGATGTCACCGGGTGACCCCGCCCCTTACATATTTAAGAACTGTCAAACCAGGGTCTGAGCAGACGGCGGGGTGCCAGTCGGTAGTGGAGCCTTTTTTTTATTCTTCCCCTCGGAGCGGCGGCCATCGTGATTAACGTTGGATTTACTTCGGGGGACATTCTTTTATTAAAAGACTTGTCAAAGAATGACTCCTGTCAGCTTTTTTTTGTGAATGGGTAGCGGTACCATGTACCCCATACTTATTCTCGTGGGGGGGGCAGGGATCTGGCCAGATTCCGATAAGCCCCCACCCACAGACCCCCCCCCCCCAACTACAGCCCCGGGTTGTGGGGAAGAGGCCCTTGTTTCCAGCATGGGGGCAAGGTGCACCCCCCATGTTGAGGGGCCTGGTTGTGGCCTTGTATGGTTCAGGAGGAGGGGGGGGCACTCACGCTTGCTCGCCCCCCCCTCTCCGGACCTGCATGCTTGGATAAGGGTCTGGTATGGATTTTGAGGGGAACCCCACACCATTTTTTTTTTTAATTTTGGCATGGGGCTTCCCCTCAAAGTCCATACCAGACCCGAAGGGCTTGGTATGGATGGGAGGGGGGGGGACCCCACACCGTTTTTTTTTTTATTAATTGCCGGCAATTCTTTCTTTTACATTCAGCTGTCAGTGGGAATCCCGCTGACACCTGGAACATTAATGCATGCTTTTCACTTCTAAAATACCGCATGACTTAATAAAATAAGTCTTTTTAGTGAATGTACCATTTTTTAGTGCATTCTGGGCATTTGGGAAGGTCTCCTGAGGTTATCTTTTAAAAACGCCTCTAAACGCAAACGTGCATAAACGCTGCTAAACGCATTATGCAAACACGGCCAGACGTTTTTCAACCTACGTTTTCCAGCAGTCAGTTTCCATTGTTCAGAAGAGTTTTCCAAGCGTCCCGTGTACATGGACCCTAAGAAAGCCCTTTCAGTGGTCTAACAATGTGCACATGACAGCGACCTCCTTGTAGGAGTCAATCCCAACATGCCTGACAGTCCGCCTAGTGTGATGACAAAGGTCACCTTCCTGTGCAGTCCTGACACGCCGACCACACATCGATCCTTACCATTCTGCACTGTTTCCAGGAAAACTGGATCGGGATCGCAGCGCAGCGCGGCCCCCCGTGGCCGGAGATATGCCGGAGAAGTTGTAGGGAACTGAAAGAACGATGCATGGTGATCCTAGGACACTGACACTGAGCACAACACGGGACCGCCCACTCCAGAGCAGAGCAGCCAATCACCGATTCCACGAGAGAGGAGTACACTCCTAGGGAAGAATAATCGATCCCCGTCGGTGGTGATACTTTGTATCTATTGCAATCCGCTATGTTTGCTGATGACGTGTAAATAAAAAATGAATTACTAATGCTTGGAAAGTGCCGAGGGCACTGCGGTGATTATACCTCCCAAGAGCTAATAAAATGGATGACCTATACCTTCCCTGGTGTAATACATTTCCCTGAACAGGGGAGGACAAGGAGGTGATGTGATGGTATGAGGTGTATATGCTGTATATGAGATTTATCAACATGGAGGAGCAGACTTGTGTTCTACTAAGACATTGGGACGAAGAATAGCATAACATGTCCCTGGAGTGGCCACAGCCTGTTCTCAGGGGCCACAGGAATACAGGCTGCTCTCAGGGTCTGCAGTAGGTAACTCTCAGGGCCACAGTACGGCCATGTTGGGGAATACAGGCTGCTCTCAGGTTCCGCAGTAGGTCTCTATCGGGGCCCACAAAGCCTGCTCTCAGGGGCCGGCTACAGCACAGTCATGTTGGGGAATACAGGCTGCTCTCAGGGTCCACAGTAGGTCTCTATCGGGGCCCACAAAGCCTGCTCTCGGGTCGGCCACAGTACGGCCATGTTGAGGAATACAGGCTGCTCTCAGGGTTCACAGTAGGTCTCTATCGGGGCCCACAAAGCCTGCTCTCAGGGGCCGGCTACAGCACAGTCATGTTGGGGAATACAGGCTGCTCTCAGGGTCCACAGTAGGTCTCTTTCGGGGCCCACAAAGCCTGCTCTCGGGTCGGCCACAGTACGGCCATGTTGAGGAATACAGGCTGCTCTCAGGGTTCACAGTAGGTCTCTATCGGGGCCCACAAAGCCTGCTCTCAGGGGCCGGCTACAGCACAGTCATGTTGGGGAATACAGGCTGCTCTCGGTCCACATTAGGTCTCTATCACGGCCCACAAAGCTTGCTCTCGGGTCGGCCACAGTACGGCCATGTTGAGGAATACAGGCTGCTCTCAGGGTCCACAGTAGGTCTCTAACAGGGCCCACAAAGCCTGCTCTCAGGGGCTGGCTACAGCACAGTCATGTTGGGGAATACAGGCTGCTCTCAGGGTCAACAGTAGGTCTGTATCAGGGCCCACAAAGCCTGCTTTCGGGCCGGCCACAGTACGGCCATGTTGAGGAATACAGGCTGCTCTCAGGGTCCACAGTAGGTCTCTATCGGGGCCCACAAAGCCTGCTCTCAGGGGCTGGCTACAGCACAGTCATGTTGGGGAATACAGGCTGCTCTCAGGGTCAACAGTAGGTCTGTATCAGGGCCCACAAAGCCTGCTTTCGGGCCGGCCACAGTATGGCCATGTTGGGGAATACAGGCTGCTTTCAGGGTCCACAGTAGATCTCTACCAGAGCCCACAAAACCTGCTGTTAGAGGCCGGCCACAGTACAGCCATATTGGGGAATACAGGCTGCTCTCAGATGCCACAGCGGTCCCCCTCCGCAGCACGGTGTCACAGCATCTCCGGTCTTCAGCAGGTCAACACAAGCAATGGTGGCCCTCAGTACCCGGTCATAATCCCCCCCCCCCCCCTTATACAGTATATGCTTCACAGGGTGGGTAGGCTGGGCCCAAAAAGCACACAAACAGAACCAGAGTGATTTGACTCCTTCCCCTACTTGGGCCAGCCACTTGCCTACTATAGGCAACCAGCCCACACACAGCCTGCTCCCAAGGGCCACAGTAGGTCTCTTATCAGGCAGTGCTGGGACAAGGTCATCCAACACCCAGGGCGATGAAGCCAAACTGTGCCCCTGCCCTAATGTGAAAGCTTAGGGGATGCTAACCCAAGCAATCGTCCGCTTGCCACAATGACATATCAGAATGAGCTCACTGACACCCACATCCCTACAGTAAACTGCTGTGCCCAGGGCAGTCACCCCTCCTGACCACCCTTTGTCCTGGCCCTATCAGGGCACGCAGGTTGCTCCTGGAGGCCACAGTAGGTCTCTATCAAGTCACACACAGGCTACTCTCAAGGTCCACAGTATGTACAGGAGGTCTATATTAAGGAACACACAGCTCTCTCAGGGGCCACAGTAGGTCTCTGTGGCAAATCGCTTGGCACCCCGGTTGAGTGCCTCCATCGGAGAGCTGCTTCCTCACTGTTGGAACACGAACAAGGTATTATAGCTGGGAATTGCACCCAAGAGCTAGACGACACTAGCTTAGGTGCAAACAGGAACTCTTTATTAAACAGAAATATAGTTTTTTTTTATACATTTCAAAAATAGGGGCAGTCCCCACATGAACAATAAAAACAAATATTACACATTGGGATAAACATTTCACACTGATTAGGCAACGAGGCAAAGTTGACACAAGACTAATCCCATCATGTAGGAACCTCCAGGAGAACTAGCCAACAGACAGAAACAATGGGTGACTCAGTTAACAATAGGACACAACAGTAAACATATAACACCTTAATAAAAAAGAATACTGCAAGAGAAATCAGCATCAGGTTGTTTTGAACTAATTATGTTAACATCTGCTTTGAGTCTCTGAGTCTAGGAGAGGGGATGCAGCAGTCAATGCTGGTTTGGACCCCAAATCTGTATCCTAGTCCTCCAGTTCTCAGGGTCTGTGTGTTTTGGGGTGACATGGACTTGAATCTGAAGTAAAACTACTCAGGTCCCCCCAGGCATGCACCTCTCAAAGAACAGAGCCCCTTCATATGCCAGGGCCCATGGTCAGAAGGCAAGAAGCTAGCCTGCAGTGCCCTCCAAAAGACCCTGTCCTGGTTGAGTCTGTCACAGTCTATATTGGGGCACACACAGGTTGCTCTCAGGGGCCACAGTAGGTCTATATCAGGGCACACACAGGCTGTTCTCAGGGGCCACAGTAGATCTATATCAGGGCACACACAGCCCTCTCAGGTGCCACAGTAGGTCTATATGAGGGCACACACAGCCATCTCAGGGACCACAGTAGGTCTCTCTCAGGGCACACACAGCCCTCTCAGGGGCCACAGTAGGTCTATATCAAGCCAAACACAGCCAGCTCTCAGGGGCCACAGTAAGTCTGTACAGTAGGTCTCTCTCAGGGCACACACAGCCCTCTCGGGGGGCCACAGTAGGTCTATATCAAGGCACACACAGTCCGCTCTCAGGGGCCACAGTAAGTCTATACAGTAGGTCTCTCAGGGCACACAGCCCTCACAGATGCTCTCTGTATTGCAGTGTCCAGTGGTTATAGCAATCCCCATACAACTGACTCGGGATGGCAGGGATGCCCACTGTTCTGTATAGAACTGAAGAGGGGATAGTATAGAACTGACTAGAGGATGATACAGAACTGAGGAGAAGAAGGTATAGAAGTAAGGAAGGGATGGTATAGAATTGAGGAGGGGATAGTATAGAACTGAGAAGAGGATGATATGGAACTGAGGAGGAGAAGGTATAGAAGTGAGGAAGGAATGGTATAGAAGGGAGGAATGGATGGTATAGAATTGAGGAGGGGATGGTATAGAAGTGAGGAGGGGATGGTATAGAAGTGAGGAGGGGATGATACAGAACTGAGGAGGGGATGGCATAGAACTTATGGAGGGGATGATACAGAACTGAGGAGGGGATGGCATAGAACTTAGGAGGGGATGATACAGAACTGAGGAGGGGATGGCATAGAACTTAGGAGGGGATGATACAGAACTGAGGAGGGGATAGATGGTGTAGAACTGAGGAGGAGATGACACAGAACTGAGGAGGGGATGGTACAGAATTGAGGAGGGGATGATATAGAACTGAGGAGGGGATGGTGTAGTATTCAGGTGGGGATGGTACAGAACTGAGGAGGGGAGGATACAGAACTGAGGAGGGGATAGTATAGAACTGAGAAGGGGATGGTATAGAAATGAGGAATGAATGATACAGAACTGAGGAGGGGATGGTATAAAATTGAGGAGGGGTGGTGGTATAGAACTGAGAAGGGGATGTATAGAATTGAGAAGGGGATGGTATAGAACTGAGAAGGGGATGTATAGAACTGAGAAGGGGATGGTATAGACCCGAGAAGGGGATGTATAGAACTGAGAAGGGGATGGTATAGACCCGAGAAGGGGATGTATAGAACTGAGAAGGGGATGGTATAGAACTGAGAAGGGGATGTATAGAACCGAGGAGACAGTATAGAACTGAGGAGGAGACAGTATAGAACTGAGGAAGGGATGATACAGAACTGAGGAGGGGATAGCAAATAACTTAGGAGGGGATGATATAGAACTGAGGAGGGAAAAGATGGTGTAGAACTGAGGAGGGGATGGTATAGTATTCAGGAGGGGATGGTACAGAACTGAGGAGGGGAGGATATACAGAACTGAGGAGGGGATGGTATAGAACTGAGAAAGGGATAGGTATACAATTGAGGAGGGGATGGTATAGAACTGAGGAGGGCGTGGTATAGAACTGAGAAGGGGATGGTATAGAACTGAGGAGGGAATGGTATAGAACTGAGAAGGGGATGGTACAGAATTGAGAAGAGGATATATAGAACTGAGAAGGGGATGTATAGAACTGAGAAGGGGATGGTATAGAACTGAGAAGGGGATGTATAGAACTGAGAAGGGGATGTATAGAACTGAGACGGGGTGATATAGAACTGAGAAGGGGGTGTATAGAACCGAGTTGGGAGCAGTATAGAATTGAGGAGGGGATGAAATAGAACTGAGGAGGGGATGATACAGAACTGAGGAGGGGATGGCAAATAACTTAGGAGGGGATAGATGGTGTAGAACTGAGGAGGGGATGGTGTAGTATTCAGGAGGGGATAGTACAGAACTGAGGAGGGGAGGAAACAGAACTGAAGAGGGGATTGTATAGAACTCAGAAAGGGATAGGTATAGAATTGAGGAGGGGATGGTATAGAACTGAGAAGGGGATGGAAATAGAATTGAGGAGGAGATGTATAGAACTGAGAAGGGGATGGTATAGAATTGAGGAGGGGATGGTATAGAATTGATGTAGAATTGAGGAGGGGGTGTATAGAATTGAGGAGGGGGTGTATAGAATTGAGCAGGGGTGGTATAGAACTGAGGAGGGGGTGTATAGAACTGAGGAGGGGGTGGTATAGAATTGAGGAGGGGGTTGTATAGAATTGAGGAGGGGGTGTACAGAATTGAGGAGGGGTGGTACAGAATTGAGGAGGGGGTGGTACAGAATTGAGGAGGGGGGTGGTATAGAATTGAGGAGGGGCTGTATAGAATTGAGGAGGGGGTGGTATAGAACTGATGAGGGGGTGGTAAAGAATTGAGGAGGGGGTGTATAGAACTGAGGAGGGGGTGGTATAGAATTGAGGAGGGGGTGTAAAGAATTGAGGAGGGGGTGGTATAGAATTGAGGAGGAGATGGTACAGACAGAATTGAGGAAGGGGTGTATAGAACTGAGGAGGGGGTGGTATAGAACTGAGGAGGGGGTGTGTATAGAACTGAGGAGGGGGTGGTATAGAACTGAGGAGGGGGTGGTATAGAACTGAGGAGGGGATGGTATAGAATTGAGGAGGGGCTGGTATAGAATTGAGGATGGGGTGTAAAGAATTGAGGAGGGGGTGTATAGAATTGAGGAGGGGGTGGTACAGAATTGAGGAGGGGTGTATAGAATTGAGGAGGGGGTGTATAGAATTGAGCAGGGGTGGTATAGAACTGAGGAGGGGGTGTATAGAACTGAGGAGGGGGTGGTATAGAACTGAGGAGGGGGTGGTATAGAATTGAGGAGGGGGTTGTATAGAATTGAGGAGGGGGTGTATAGAATTGAGGAGGGGTGGTACAGAATTGAGGAGGGGGTGGTACAGAATTGAGGAGGGGGTGGTATAGAATTGAGGAGGGGATGTATAGAATTGAGGAGGGGGGTGGTATAGAACTGATGAGGGGGTGGTAAAGAATTGAGGAGGGGGTGTATAGAACTGAGGAGGGGGTGGTATAGAATTGAGGAGGGGGTGTATAGAATTGAGGAGGGAGTGGTACAGAATTGAGGAGGGGGTGTATAGAATTGAGGAGGGAGTGGTACAGAATTGAGGAGGGGGTGTATAGAATTGAGGAGGGGGTGGTATAGATCTGAGGAGGGGGTGTAAAGAATTGAGGAGGGGGTGTATAGAATTGAGGAGGAGATGGTACAGACAGAATTGAGGAGGGTATGCGCAGTGCTGTATAGAAGTCTACAGAGAGGGATGACGGGATGCGCAGGGCTGTATATAGAACGGATGAGGAGGAGGAGGAGGCAGTAGCTCCCTCTGCAGGCTGGCTCCTCTCCTCTGCTCTCCTCTCCTCTCCTCTCTGCAGCAGACATGGGATCTCACATCGTGCAGATCCTCCGCCAAGGTGTGTGGGCTGCATTAACCGGAGGATGGTACCACGATCCCGAGGACAGCCAGTTCAATAATATCTGTCACCTGTATTTATGGGTGTTCCTGCTCCTGTTACCTCTGGCCATGCACCTGGTGAGTTCAGTCTGCTGGATCATGGCATGTACAGTATAGTGTACAGTATATAGCAGTGTGTCATCAATACCTGCACGGTGCCAGCTCTGAGATGAGGCCGGATCTCTGGGAGACAATCATTAACATCTGTCAGTGTCAGTTGATTGTTATTCTGACCCCCTGACTTCCTTCACTGGCCAGGAAAACCATCAGGATTGTGACTTCACTGGCTGCATACTTTTTCTGATTTAATGGCTCAGTGCATTGAAGGTGATGATATTTAAACATCCTAAAAAGGGTATATTTATTAAGGTTTTTAAGGTTTTAATTAGCAAATGTATGAATCATGGGTGGAAGTTTCATTAAAACATTTATTAATAAAGTGTAAAACCAAAATCTAAAAACTGGCAGCGCACCATGTGAGACTGTTAAGAGTTATGATTTTTATTTTTTTCCTCTAGCTTCATTATTGACATTCACTGAATTTAAACTTTCATCCTTGGCACTTCCTTTTTCAAGGTGACAACCCCTACCATACATTGGTGGAGTTGTCACCCTGCATTGCATGCTTGTAAACGTATTCAAGTAATAGCAGGATGTAGTTTATGGTTTATGTAAACTCCGTATTTTCATATAAGCTGTAACCTGTTAAGATCATTTTAGAAGTCAATATTTCTAAAATCAAAATCTGCAGCTTTTATTATATGATATGATGATTCTACCATAAAAGACCTTGTCCAGGTACTTCCTGTTATAAAGTGAAAAACACTCTGTCCATGTCCCTCTGCATTGTCACCCTGTCACACATGTTACACAGGTATGGGAATAAAAATCCATCCTAACATATCTATGCAGGTATGGAGCCTACCCATGAAGACAGGAAGTGCCTGCACTAAGGCTGTGGAGATCAGCCACACTGAGATACAGCAAAGAATAATAAGATGAAAACAAGTAGTTAAAAAGTTGTCAGTTGCTTATAATACAAAATACTTTAGCAAACTAAGGGACCCATTAATAAAAGAGAAAGGATATGGCTGTCTACTCTTGGCTGTACATAACTATTTCCATGCGGAGAACTGAGTTTAGTGTTCCATTCATAAAATGCCAGCCGCTGCTAGGAGCCTGTAGTACGTCACAGAGTTCTCTCTGCTTAAATCTCCTGCAAACACTTTGGCAAACTAAGGGCAAAGGATATGGCTGTCTACTCTTGGCTGTACATAACTAGCTATTTCCATGCGGAGAACTGAGTTTTGGTCCATTCATGAAATGCAGGCCGCTGTAGGAGCCTGCAGTACGGCACAGAGTTCTTTCTGCTTAAACCTCTCCTGCAAAACGCTTTAACAAACTAAGGGGCCCATTATTAAGAGAAGGATATGGCTAGCTATGCTTGGCTGTACATAACTAGCTATTTCCATGCAGAGAACTGAGTTTTGTGGTCCATTCATGAAATGCAGGCCTCTGTTAGGAGAATGCAGGACGGCACAGAGTTCTTTCTGCTTAAACCTCTTGCAAAACACTTTAACAAACTAAGGGACCCATTATTAATAGAGAAAGGATATGGCTGTCTACTGTTGGCTGTACATAACTAGCTATTTCCATGCGGAGAACTGTGTTTAGTGGTCCATTCATAAAATGCCAGCCGCTGCTAGGAGCCTGTAGTATGTCACAGAGTTCTCTCTGCTTAAATCACCTGCAAAACACTAGAAAACTAAGGGACCCATTAATTACAGAGAAAGGATATGGCTGTTTACTCTTGGCTGTACATAACTAGCTATTTCCATGTGGAGAACTGAGTTTGTGGTCCATTCATAAAATGCAGGCCACTTTTAGGAGCCTGTAGTACGTCATCAGTTCTGTCTGCTTAAATGTCCTGCAAAACACTTTAGAAAACTAAGGGGCCCATTTTTAAGAGAAAGGATATGGCTACATACTCTTGGCTGTACATCACTAGGTATCTCCACACAGAGGACTGAATTTTGTGGTCCATTCATAAAATGCAGACCTCTGTTCCTTATTGTAGCAGAGAGAGCTACATGATTGGAGGAGAAGAGGCTGGTCACATGACTTTAAGAATAATAATTCTCCTTCCGGCTTTTTTTTTGTTTCTCCATTCATTTTAGTAGGGCTGTGCTCCACTGGCAACAGAGGCCCAATAAAGTTCCACCAAAAAATGTAAATATTTTTTCAGGTTACCAATCAAAGATGCAGTGGTTACATTCCGCTTCTGATTTTAGACTTTTTTCCATCTGTTTTCACTTGGTGATCTGGTCCAGTAACACATCTTCTGTATTAGAGTGCACCCACTCTGGATAAAGGAGCACAGGGGGCACAACATCAGTCTGGGGGTAGGGGAGACTGACAGATTTAGATACACTAAAAAATTGAAGACAAGCTGTTTTTTTCCTTTGGGGATAAAGGTTTTGCATGAATAATAAAAGCTGATCATTGTAAGCACCCCTGACAGTGATAAATGGTTTGTCTCAACATCCGAACTACTACATTTGCAGGAGAGAATGTTCTGCTGAAACACAACAGACTTACTGTCCAGATCAACAGATATAAATAAGGGAAAGAAAGCCAAAAAAACAATGCAGCCATTACATCTCAGAATTGTTAGGCTGCAATATAATAAATGTTTGCTTTTGGGTTAATACCGCTTTAAGTTCAAAATATTCGATTTTACTATGCCTAATGAAATTCAAACAACACGCAAACTACCTATGTGAGACGTGAACAATGGCAGTGTCCATTCTGTGACTCCTTGCTTTGTAGCATCCTTGGGGCAGCAAAGTACCTGACAAGGGGCAGCTTAGCAGTTACAGGGGGTTGGATTGAAGTTTCTCACACTTTGGACAGGTACAGTATGATGACAGTTTATATAGACCAGCCTTTCTCAAATTTTATGTCCCTGAGGAAACCTTGAGATGATTTTCAGCTATTGGGAAATCATAAAAAATCATTGGAGTCAATGGGGAAAATGCTTCTTATATTAGCAACCATTAAGAAGAATCCCCCTACAGTGGTAGTCAAAATGCCACCCTTACATACAGCTAAAAAGATCATTGGTGTCAAGTAGCCAGCTCTGTCAAGTGGCTTAGGCCCTGGGACTTTGGAGACACCATCAAATAGGAGGTCAACTAACCACAGCTCAAGGAACCTCTGGAGGGACCTTAGGGGTCAATGGAACCTTGATTGAAATGGGAGGTCTAAAAAATGTTGGATGAGAGAGAAATATTTTTTATATGAATCTTTTCATTTATAATTTTGATACATTTATCAACTTTGTTCTGGTGTGTGATGGGAGTCACTTTGGGTGGGGGGCCCATGGACCCAGCTCACTTTGGAGAGGTGGGGAGACCCCTGTCTCAGCTCCCCATATCCCTCTTATGTGTAAATCACCCTGTGCCTGTTAGGGGTATCTGTCCTAATATTGTGAGGGCTTTGTCTCAGATTGTGTAGACATGTTTTGGAGATAGGTGGGGTGGGGGTTGTTGATTGTTTAATGTTGTGTGGCTTGCATCCCATTGTTCTATTGTTTGTCTGGCTTGGGAGCAAACTATTATGGGATGTATGTGTTTATGTGTATTAGCTTAGGGGGGGTTGTCTCCAGCAGCCCTCCCTCCTGATGGGACTGTTTGCTGGTGTGAAGGTTTGAATACCTGTGTGTCTCTTGTTACTAAATGTAGATTGCCCACCCTGTGTCATGATGCAGGGAGGGGGGATTGTCCCCTGAGTGTATATAGCTTGTATTTGTGTTTTAAATAAAGTAGTCTACCTCTGGTTTACTTCAAATCTGGTGTCTGGATCTTGGGGTAACAATAGCTAGATTCACTGGTCTCATGTGTTCCAGACCCTGAGAAACAGCTTCTTGATGGAGATACCCAGTCGGGGTGTCTGGGGTCCGTTACATGGTGTGCTTAACTTTGTTCTGGTTTGAGTCTTGTAGTTGTAAACCGTTCTATATATCCAGTGAAGTCACTGGCATCAGGTGATACGCAGAGATAAAACAAACCCTCCTACATACGTTTTGTACCAGTTTATCTGCAGTCTTCTCTTCTCTACATCCATGTACTAATATATAAAGCTTACCAGAGTTCAGAGAAAAGGGGGCGGAGAGCAAAAGTTACACTCTGCAGAGCTCAAGGAGGAGAGCTCTGAGAGATGATTGGAGGGAAGAGACCTCCCCCCCTCCCCTCCACATAACTAACAGGAACAGAGCTGAGGCTGTCAATCTGCTGAAGGTCCCTCACCTGTCACCAATTTTCTCCTGGTGTCAGGAAAACTTGTCTGAAGCATTTCATGCTGATAGCAGAGGAACAAAGCAGGAGACAGAAATGGCACCTAGTGCTCCTAATTGAGACAAGTACATAGTATAGCAAGATATGCTTTGTTCATATTTAATGTTTGAGGTTTACAATTACTTTAATAATCACCCAATAAGTTTCTACTGTCTGATAATGGAGGGTTTTTTTTTTTTTTTTAAATGATTGCCCTCACCTAAAGTATCCCTGAGGTAACATTATGGTGCCTGTAAATAGATCTGCCCCTATGGAGCCCCGTTGATGATGAATGACAATAACTGGACTTGGAGCTTGGGAGGGGTAGAGATTTATTTGAACTTGAACAAAAATTAAAGCCCCATATATAGCCTGGACCAATGATCCCATGAGTTTTATAGGGACACAAGGATTGATCTGAAGATGTTGCTAGCTTAAGCTAGCCATACACAGCTGGATCTCTCATTTAGCCCATGGGCTTGAACAACAGAAAATGAATTGGTTCACCCAGGAATTCACACTGCCAGCTATTTTATTCAGAAGCTGCAAAACCCATGACTGCCTGAATATCTGAACAGTGACTGCCCTTGATTGGATGTAGTCACTGTTTAGTTGATAATTTTTGTACCCGACTCAGTCAGTCATTAAATCTACTTTTTGTTGAACCCTTTGGTGCTTGCAGGGCAAGATTTGGCTGAAATCTGAGCTATGTAAGGGCAGCTATTTTTTTTCTATGCTAGTCCAGATTCACTTTAAAGGGTATCGCAGATGACACTCTTCCAATTTGTTCTCATCAAATCCACAACTGTGCTGCCTCCAGCAGGGAAATTCAGCCTGCAATATTAATTTAGCTACTAGGGGAGGCAGGTGCATCCTGGGTATTCAGACACCAGGATGAACTGAGGGAAAGAAACCAGCCATAATTCTCTTCAGCACCTGTCCGGACTGAACTTACATCCTTTACAGGCAGCATCGCTGGTGAGCATAGACTTATTGCCGTCCACGTGTTTGTATATTTCATATACTGAATATATGTACTTCTTATCTGTTTTTCCTAATAGTTTAATTCACCCTGTTTTGTTAATAAAGCTTCAAGCTTACATCCAGTCTGGCATTATTGCAGAATAGGAGGGTTTAGCTGCATGTCGAGTTAAACACATGGAAACATGTATAGAAGAAAGAACAACAATGTTTAGTTTTAAACATGCCACTCAACACACAAACATTCCATTCCATATAATCTAGTTTTAGTTTAACCCCTTTACGCCGGTGCCTCCGGCCCTTTAAGAGTTTCAGAAGCCGGGAGGCAGGGCGGGTTTAGGGTTTGTGACCGCCGTGACACGCCGCCACGGCAGTCACATGATCGGGAAAGGTCCCGATCGAAAGAGGAGATCGGGACCAGGAGCAGACTGACCATTTGGAAACTCGGGCACTGCCCGAAGGACCCGGGTCAGTAGGGGGCCCCATTAGATGCCCCTGGTACCTTTTTCATAGGCTTTTTTGAGTTTGGGCAAGGACACAGGGGCCCTATGATCCCCTATTGCCCGGGGGCCCCATGAGTCAGTCCGCAACTGATCAGGACCTTTCCGTAAGTACCGGACATGTGTGCTGGGAGCGCACAGGGCGCGTGCTCTTGACACATATGTCCTTTTTTAATAGAAAGCAAATGTGCGGCCGCTCGGCGTCTAGGCCCAGACACCAGGATCCCACACATTTGCATTCGGCCGGTGTGAAGAGGTTAAACATTCTACAGCATTTCCTTTGGCACAAAACATGTAAGTATTTTTGTTTTCTAGGTGACTGCATTGCTACTCTAACATTGCTTTACACTGCAGTTTATTTACTGTTTTTCCTACAGGGCTTGCCTCCAACAAGACTCACATTATCCCTTTACTGCATATCCACAACTGTGTTGTTTACAGTGATTAAGTTTGTAAGTTTTCGTCTACATCTCATGTTTGATAAAGGAGCAGTGGTCCATCATAAAAAACACAGCAAAAAAGTCAAGAAGGCCAAAGATGCTAGCAGCATCAATATTTCAAGCAACCACACAGATCCTAGGTAAGGTTTTTATCCAATATATTTAATATCAGTTTTGACTTTTTTTTCCTGGTATCCATTGTTCTCTTAGGTCCCTTTCACATAAGTGATCCGATCAGATCTGCCAGGTCAGTTTTTCAGGTGGACCTGATCGGAAGGTCCATGCATCCCTATGGACAGGCAGGTGTAAACAGACAAGTCACTTTACACCTACCTACCTTCAGGTCTGGTCCAGTCCGCTAAAAACAAGAGAAGGGGATCTGTGCTCTACTGTTTTAGGCAGATCAGATCGGAGGGTAGTCAGGTGTAAACGGACACCAGATTCTGTTTACTCCCAGCCGCCGATTGAGCAGAGCGGGCTCTGACTATGTCCTCTCTGCAGAAACTGAGCGGACACAGATGTGTCATCCACCCACTCTGCTCCAATCAGCAGGGGATATGTGAGTGAATTCCCTGTTGATTGGAACTGAATCTACCTAGTGGCGTCACTAGGGGGGTGCGTGGGGTGTGGGCCGCCCTGGGTGACACCATCACAGGGGGTGACACCATCACAGGGTGACACCAAAATGAAAAGTAGTCATCCATCTGAGTGGAGTGTCCCCCATCCTCTCCCCAGTTACCAGGGCTCCTCAACCCCAGGAACAGCTGTGCCATGCAGGGGGTGGGATGTTGGGTCCTGTTGGTGGGGGGGGGGGGTCCAATCCCTAGGATCACAGTGGCTGCTGCAGGCCAATTCACACCCAGCCTGTACACAGGAGCAGAGCCTGCCCCTGCCCTCTGATTGGACAGCTCCTACTCTACATGTCAGTCCATGAATGGTAATGACCCTGCCCCTCTGCATCACACATCACTGGCTGGTCCCTGCCTTACAGAGGACATCCTAATGGTCCCTACCTTACAATCATAGATACACATACTAGGGCCAATTTAGACATGAGCCAATTCACCTAGTGGCATGTGTTTGGAGTGTGGGAGGAAACTGGAGTACCCAGAGGAAACCCATGCAGACACAGGGAGAACATGCAAACTCCAGGCAGGTGGTGCCATGGTTGGGATTTGAACCAACAACCTTAGTACTGCCAGGTGGAAGTGCTAACCATTTAGCCACTGTGCTGCCCTATTTGCATTAAAAACAGAGGTTTTAGTAGCACAGCATTTGCAAATATATGTGAAAACCATCCTGCCCTGTCAATGCCCCCTATATAGTGCAGTTATGACTCTAGTCAATGAGAGTGTCCATGTTGCAGCTTATATAGCAATGGATACATTAAGGGCAGTTATGCCTGGAAGAAGCTCATTCCTAAAAGTCGCAGGGATGCGCCAGAAGCCCTCACAGTACAATGGCAGCCAAAAGCAAGCAAGTTATTATTATTATTATTGTTATTATTATTATTAAGAATAATATACAGGATTTTTATAGTGCCAACAGTTTGCATAGTTGTTTACAATATAAAAAGGGGACAGTACAATTACAATACAGTTCAATACAGAAGGAATAGGTTAAAGTGTTAGTTCACCTTTACAGAAAAACAGTAAAGGTGACCTAACACCAAACATCCTCCCCATCTCCTCCGTCCATGTGACAGCACTGGCTAAATAGAATCAATCTGGTCCGTCCTAGCAGCATGGACTAAGAAGAGAACAAGCAGCGGGGATTTTAAATCCCTGGACTGGTGGAGTGGCTGCGGGAACCCTGACAGCTGAGTATATTGGGGACCAGGGTGTCTGGTATTAGGTGACCTTTACAGTTTTTCTATAAAGGTGAACTTACCCCCTAATGTAGCCCCATATTTGTTAAAGTATCCATTAGGTATTTATTTCATGTTTGTTTTATGGAGACAGAATGAGTACGTGAATTTGACTCGGGATCAGCATTTTGCAGTCCCTGTACATCAAAGCTCAGACTGGGGGAGGAAGAATCAGCAGAAGGAGCCAATCAGTTGTGCTGCAGAGAAAGAGCATACTGATTGGAGGAAAGAGCCTAGTAACAGAGAGATGAGCTCATCTGTGTGCTGCTTTTCCTTTCACTGTCCAGTTACAGGTCAGGGATGGAGGGTGGAGTACCTGCAAAGGTTTCTAAAGGCAAACTTTTTTTTTTTTCTTATAGACAATAAACATGTCATACTCACCTGCTGTGTGCTGTGGTATTGCACAAATTGGCCCCCAACCTGCTCTTCTGGGGTCCCCCGCCAGCGATCTTTACCTCTCCTCTTCTGTGTCTGCCATCATAGCAAGTTGCTTGTGGTGGCAGATGTGCAGGCTTGCTCACACAACACAGCCCAACCCCACCCCTGAATTACACTGCCAGGCTGTGCAAATATAACAATGTTTGTCAATTGGCTCTAGTAGACACACAGGCATACACAGCTTTCAACCCATAACAAAGCCTAAATGGCATAATATATTGCATAGCATTCCATAAAGTCACAGGATTTCACTAGTTTTGTCTAATGGCTTTTCTCTTGTCCTATCTCTTACAACTGCACGTCTACAGCTTCAGGTTCTTCCTCACTTGACTCAACCACGCAGGAATTGGTAGCCCCTCTCCATGAGGAACTGGATTGCGATGGAATATTTGAACCCTTTTACAATTGGAGGCACCATACAAAAGTAACAATTACTAACATGATCTGTTGGCTCTCTCCAGCGAAAGGCATAGATGCCTTTTTTCCATTCAACCATTGCTCCAAGTCTTGCAGCCAAAATACAAGTTGTAGGCTTTCTTAATCATTCCTGTCCTTGGATAAAAGTTATTTCACCGCAGCTTTATTCACACAAGTTCGAGGCATTACTGAGTACATAAAACGCATGCAGTGAAGTGATGCAATTAAAGGCTAATATTGCATGTATACATGCAATTTTCTATTGGTCACCAGTATCAAAATATGCAGCTGAAGTTTTTTTTTTTAGGGTCCTTTTTCAGCAAAAATGCAGGGGAGGAGGACAGCAAGCTGTAAAACGTTTTTTACCTTAATGCAGGGAATTAAGGTAAAAAAAGGTTTTAGCATTAGAACCACTTTAAAGAGGAGACAAAGTTACACACCGAAGAGTGTTTGGTTATCATGAGTATAATGTGAAGAACTGAGCTGACCTCTATGTTAGATATAAACAGAGAAATGTATATGATATATTAATGGCTCATATGTGTGTAAAATAATGCTACAACACACTTGCAGGGATTCTTTAGATCATGTTGTGATGTGCATGTCAGCACTTCTGCTGATCATGAAATATTTTTCTATCATTGACAGCAAGAATGTAGAGTTGGATATTGAAGAATTTACTCAGAGCCATCAGGAAAGCAACACTGCAACTTCCCCAGACTCACTAGTAAGTATATTATTGGTATACAATTATACACTCAATATATTACATCATTAATAATGTATAATGAGAATATGGCCTCATGCATACAGGGCGTTTACCCATCTAGCTACTGCTCTACATGTTTCCCATATTAATGCTTCTTCAGGAGCTCAATATCAATATTTTACCAGAGTATACTAATAGCATGGAAGGGAGACTGGAGGTCAATGGTGCTCCCGATTATGGATGCGGGGCCACACTTCCAGCAGTGTATAATCTAAGGATGCACCGAAATTTTGATGGCCGAAACGTTTTGGCCGAAAACACCCCGAAATGAAAAAAAAAGCACCGATAGAGGTGCCGAAAAAACGCTGCTGCCCGCCTGCCCGTCTGCCCGTCCGCCTGCCTAACCTCTGCCCACCACTGCCGCCACCGGCCGCCACTCAGTAGTTCTCAGCCTTACCTGAGAAACCATCAATCCCGGCACTAGGACATAGAGATGAGTGAAGGAATGATGGCCATCATCTCTATGCTCTTGGAGGACGGGAGTGATGTCACTTCCCGTTCCGGCCATTTTTTTTTTTCTTTTAAAGCACTAGATCAATCTTTTTTTTTGATCCAATGCTTTACATTGCAGAAGAGAGATGTGGGGTCTTATTGACCCCATATCTCTCCATAAAGAGGACCTGTCACTAATTATTTCTATCTCAAGGGATGCATGCATTTCTTGTGATAAGAATACAAGTGATGTTTTTTTTAAGAACAGTGCAAAAAAAACCCCAAAACAATAAATAAATTAAAAAAAAAGTTTAAAGTGCCCCCGTCCCCCTGAGCTCGCACGTAGTGGTGAACGCATACGTAGGCCATGCCCACATATGTAAATGGTGTTCAGACCACACACGTGAGGTATCGCCACAAACGTCAGAGCAAGAACAATAATTCTCGCACTAGACCTTCTCTGTAACTTTACACTGCTAACCTGTAGAAATTTTTAAAGCATCACCCATGAAGATTTTTAAGTACCGCAGTTTCACGCCATTCTATGAGCGTGCGCAATTTTAAAGCGTGACATGTTGGGTAACATCCTCTTTCATATTTTACAAAAAATTTGGGGTATATATATTGTTTTTTTGTTTTTTTTTAATCAGTGTATTTTTTTTCCAAAAAATATATATCAATTTTTAAAAACTGCATTTCAGTTTCAGTTTTCGGCCAAGTGCATTTTGAATTTTCGGTTCCGGTTTTGGCACCAGAATTTTAAATCCGGTGCACCACTAGTATAATCATCGGGATACGTAAAATAAAATAGAAACATGACAGCTGAATCTGTCCATTACATCTTTCTATATATTATGGACCCACTCTTTACGCTTGATATTATAGGTATTCCTCAACTCTCATATGAGGATCATTCCACTTCAGATAGATAATACACAGATGATATTTGCAGTGTTTGGCCGTTTAGAATTAGTATAAAAAAAATGATCTTTCTAATGCAGCATATGAACATCCGTCCCTATATTGCCACTGGGGAACGTACTTCTCCCGTACATCGTTGCCTCCTCCTGTGTGTCCACCCTATAAGTAATAAGGTATATATATATATATATATAGTAATATATATTATGATCATTTAAGCATCAATACTCTTATGGTCAGAAAGCTGCATACCAGTAATGGATACCATTGTGTCTGAACTTATTACATACCTGGGATTTTAATTGAATGTAATTTTGCTGTGTTTTTCATATGTATCAATTAAAAGTGTATATTTTTTATCTAGTTTGGGTTTGTTTGATGCCTAAAAAGTCCACACTCCCTTCTTCCATTGAATATTTGAAGGCATCTCTGTATTTTAACAGATATCCACAGTACCACCCTGTGGAGACATCCAGTGATTTTTAAGGGTATCAGATGGCAACATTACTGGGTGCCGAGATGCACGGGCTGAACCAGGGGCGGACTGACAACTCATGGGGCCCCCGAGCAATAGGGGATCATGGGGCCCCTGTGTTCTTGCCCAAACTCAAAAAAGCCTATGAAAAAGGTACCACAAGCATCTCATGGGGCCCCTACTGACCCCGGGCCCTCGGGCAGTGCCCGAGTTTTCAAATAGTCAGTCCGCCCCTGGGCTGAACCGAAAGTATTATGGAGCTGCATGCAGGCTGCATGTTGAATACCAGTAAGGTAGATGCTAGAGAGCAAGAACACAGACATAGCATTTATAAAAATAATAAAAATAAATTATAATACCCAAATGCAGAAAAATAGAGCTTTTAATTGTTCTGGTTTGCCCAGATTTTCTTTAAAGTGGTTGTAAACACTCACATATACCCAGTGAAGTGACTGACCTCAGGTGATACACAGAAATGAAATACATCCTCCTACATAAGTTGTACCTGTTCATCTCCAGTCTTCTCCTCTCTACATCCATTCAAAGTGCAGAATATTAAAGCTAGTCTGACAGTTCAGAAAAAAGGGGGCGGAGAGTTGAAATCACACTCAGTGAGCAGAGCTTAGTAAGAAGAGTTCTGAGAGCCGATTGGAGTGAAGGGACACACCCCCTCCACACAGCTCACAGAAACAGAACTGAGGCTGTCAATCTGTTGGAGGTTTCTCCCCTGTCACCATTTTTCTCTCTTGTTGTTAGGAAAACCTGTCAGAAATGATGCAGGCTGCTAACAGAGGAATGAAGCAGCAGACAGAAGTGACACTTAGTGCTCTTAATTGAGACTAGACATGTGCAGGTTGTTCCGAATCGAAATTCAGAGAAAATTAACATTATTCGGAGATCCGGGTGTATCCGAATTTCTGAATTACAATAGTGACAAATTTAAACGGATCCAAAATAATGAAACAAAATTTTGCCGGAAATTCAAATTGAATTTGAATCCAATTCAATTTAAATTTGAAAACTGAAATTGAATTGTAAAACAAATTTGAAATATAAACATATTACTTACTATTGCTGATTTCCTTCAAATACTATGTGTATTAGTGTTAGCATATAGCCATCCTCCGAAATTCGAATTTCAAAGAGAATTGAATAGAATAAAAAGAATAGAAAATCAAAGAGTAGAAAAGAATAGAATAGAAAAAAAAATAGATTTGAATTGAATAGAGTAGAAAAAAAAGCATATAACTGTCTTCCAAAATGTGAACTTCAAACAGAATAGAATAGAATAGAAAAGAATAGAGTAAAACAAAATAGAATAGAAAATAAAGGAATAGAAAAGAATAGACTACAAAAAATAGATAGATTAGAATAGAATACAATAGAAAGAATATAACCGTCTTCAGAAATTTGAATATTGAATAGAATAGAACCAGCTATTCTTCACAAAGAATTCAGATCGATTCAATATTTTCAATTCAAATACTTCAAATCCATTGGAAAATTTGAATTGGTCAAAAATAAATAAACAAAACTAAACTAATTTTGTTACGGATGCAACAAAATGAAATTAGTAACTTAACGAATTGATCTAAAATTAAACAAATTTTTTTTTGTTCTGTACATGTTTAATTGAGACAAGTACCCACTATAGAGGGATATGCTTTGTTCATTTGATGTCTGAGGTTTACAACCACTTTAACTCATGCTATGAGCTCAGGGTCCACCTTAACGGTCAGCTCATGCCAAGCTTGACACGTGTTGCTGCTGACCATTATTTTCTATATGTGTATTGGTAATCTCCCTCCCGCTCTGCCTTTAGCTCTGGGTGCAGGTGATGTAATAAACAGTCTGCACTCCAGTGTATGTGGAGGAGAAGGTTCCTTATGAGTAAAGACCTTAAATTGATCCCTGTGACTGTGCAGTGTTCTGGAAATAGCATTGGCTACCGTAGTTGTGCATAGATGCAAGGTAATCAGACTTCTTAGAAACTTGCTTCATGGTCTTCAGTAGTGATGGGCCAAACAGCCCCCTGTTCGGTTTGCAGTCGAACATTCGAACCTACATAATTTTCGAATGCGAAATACAAACATGAACAGTTTACTGAGCCGTATCTTATGGAGTATGTGTTAAAATACCGCTCAGTTACTAAAATGTCACATGAGTTATATTATTAAGTCATGCGGTATTTTAGTAGTGAAACATTCATTAATATTTCATCTGTCAGTGGGGTTCCTCACTCACAGCTGAATGTAAAAAGAATTGTCGTCATTGTCCGACAATTACATTTTTTTTAAAAAACAACGTGGGTTCCCGCTCCCATCCATACCAAGCCCTTCGGGTCTGGTATGGTTTTGAGAGGATCCTCCACTTCAAAAATATAAAAAAAAATGATGTGGGGGTCCCCCCCCAAAATCCATACCAGACCCTTAACCGAGCATGCAGCCCAGAAGGTCAGGAAAGAGGGGACGAGCAAGTGGCCCCCCCCTCCTGAACCATACCAGGCAACATGCCCTCAACATTGGGGAGTGCTTTGGGGCAGGGGAGCTCCCCCTTGTTGATGGGGACAAGGGCCTCTTCCCCACAACTGTGGCCGGTGGTTGTTGGGGTCTGCCGGTGGGGGGCTTATTGGAATCTGGAAGCCCCCTTTAACAAGGAAGCCCCCAGATCCCGCCCCCCCATGTGAATGAGTATGCGGTACATGGTACCGCTACCCTTTCACAAAAAAAAAAAAAAAGTAAAAAGGACAGGAGACAGTCTTTGACAAGTCCTTTCTTAAAAATAACAATAAAAAAATGTCCAACATTTACTGTCCAAGTAGATCCAATGTCAGTCACGATGCTACCCGAAAAAAGAAAATAAAAACACTGCTCTGCTGTCTGACAGCTGCGCCCCAATGACAGTTCTGAAATACTGTCATGATGTCACAAGGGGGCGGGGTTCACATCATCCTGTACTGTGATTGGCCAAAGCATTGCACCTGAACTGTGGTCAGCTGCATTGCTTTGACCAATCACAATGCACTGTCAGGGCGCAGTGGATTGTGGGGTGTGGCCGGGGAAAAGCCCACCAAACACCCGTATCGATCGTGTGTTCAGCAATACACGAACGGTCAATGTTCAAATCAAAC